TGGGGCCACAGTGGCTCCACACAACCTATGAACCAAGAAGTCACAGTTCAATTCCGGTCAGGGCACATGCCCCAGTTGTGTGTTCTATTCCCAGTAGAGGGTGTGCAGGAGGCAGCCAATCACTGACTCTCTCTCATCATTGATGTTTCTACCTCTCTCTCCCTCTTTCTTCCTCTCTCAGAAATCAATAAAAAACATATTTTAAAAAAGGATAATATATCAAGACAAAGGGGGGTACAGCATTTTTATTTTTTATTTATTTAATTTATCTTCATTATTGAAAGTATTACAGGTATTCCATTTGCTTTTTCCCACATTGACCCCCTCCACCTCACTCCCACCACTTCCCCAGGACTTCACCCCATTATTGTCTGTGTCCATAGGTTATGCATATATGCATATAACTTCTTTGGTTAATCTCTTACCACCCACCACCCCCCTTCTCTCTTCCCTCTGAGATACAACTGTCTGTTGCATGCTTCAGTGTCTCTGAGTCTATTTTGTTTGTCAGATTCTTTTGTCATTAGCTTCTTCATGTAGTGCTGGTCTGGTGGTGGTGAACTCCTTTAGCTTTTTATCTGTGAAGCTCTTTATCTGACCTTCAGTTCTAAATGATAGCTTTGCTGGGTAATCTTGGTTGTAGGTTCTTGCTTTTCATCACTTTGAATATTTCTTGCCACTCCCTTCTGGCCTGCAAAGTTTCTGTTGAGAAATCAGCTAACAGTTGTATGGGTGCTCCCTTGTAGGTAACTAACTGCTTTTTTCTTGTTGGTTTTAAGATTCTCTTTTTGTCTTTATCCTTTGGCACATCATTTTAATTATGATGTGCCTTGGTGTGGGCCTCTTTGGGTTCCTCTTCTTTGGGACTCTCTGTGCTTCCTAGATTTGTAAGTCTATTTTTTCCACCAGGTAGGGGAAGTCTTCTGTCATTATTTTTTCAAATATTTTCAAATTCTTGCTCTCTTCCCTTTCTTCTCCTTCTAGTATTCCCATTATGTGAATGTTGGGCCACTTGAAGTTGTCCCAGAGACACCGTACACTTTGTTGATATTTCTGAATTCTTTTTTCTTTTTGCTCTTCTGATTGGGTGTTTTTTGTTTCCTCATATTCCAAATTGCTGATTTGATTCTCCTAAAAATTATTAAACCACCATCATTAGGACTCATGGCCACACAAACAAAATGATGGCACCACTTTGAAAAGCATGTAACTTACCAAGATAGACATACATATTTATGTTCTTAAAACAAATTAAAGAGATTTCACCAAGAATATTAGAATTAGGCATCTAATTTTTTTAAGTGGTTCTGATAAGGAAAACAAAGATGTTAGAAATGTTTTAAAAAGAAATTCTCAAATGCAAATATGCAAAGCCATCTGCTGAGACCATTACTTCCTTAACATTAGCAAACATCATGTTACCCTATGTAACTTAAAAACAAAATAGAGCAAAATGAAACAAAAATGACAAAACCGTATGTAAACAGTGGATTGGGAGGAGGAGAAGGAAGGGAAATAGACTAGAAGCATCTATTTGAAGATTCACAAGCATAATCAGAAGGGTTAAGAGGAGGAAAAGGCAAAAAGATAATTATGAATGGGTTGTTTACTTTCTGGTATCTCTTAAGCAAAACCCTAAAGGAGAACAGAGCTTTTCTTTTAGGGAAACCAAAATGTCTAGCCCTTTAAATAATGCCACAGAAATGGACATCTCCCAAAGTATCCGTTTATAGTCTACTAGATAAGTGGTTCTCCAATTTTAGTTTTTATCAACCATTAAAATTAAAAAAGAAACAACACAGAACGTTGGGGGAACCAATAAAGAATTGCCAACATTAGATATGAACATGAAAAATAATGAACGAAAGGTACTATCTCTCAATATCATTTTGTTGTAACCATATACTAAAATCACAACAATTTTAATACCAAATAAAGTATGGAAAACATAATTTAAAAAATGTTTTAAAAATATAACTTAAAAAATACTCATTGTATGCTTTATTCATTTCACTGCAGATCAGTGAACTCTATAGGATAGCACTGGCCAGCAGACTTAAGTCTTTAATTACTTGGCCAAGGCATAGGACATATGAGTGAAGGCCTTTTGGAATAGACTAAACCCATCCTCGGGCCCATTTTATCAAGCTCAAAACCCTACCATCTTCCCATTAATCTTCAGCAGATAATGGAAGCCATTTGGCAGAACTTGCTCAACTTCCTCCCCCTTTTTAACCCTAATCAAAAGACTCATTTCTATCCACAGTTAGTTTTAGCTGCTTCCCTACATTTTCTGTAGAAAAGGCTTCTTTCACTTGGTTCCACAGCCTTCTGACTCCTCAGACATGCTAAATCCATAACCAACCTCCTTACCAAGTGTAGGGGATTAAAATGCTTTGACATTCCTCCCCCTGAGAGGTGGAATCTATGTACTCTTCCCTTACATCTGGGTAGGCTCCATGACTGCCTTGACCAACTGCATAGGTAGAAGTGGCACAGGTTTAGTTTCTGATCCCAGGCTTTAAGAGACTGGCAGCTTCCTCTTCATGTCTCTTGGAATAATCTCTCTAGGAACCCTGGGCTGCTGAAGAAGCTTCAGTTGATGGCCCTGATAATGTCTTGGAACCGTCTGACTAGACCACCCACCAGCTGAATTCTAACAAGTGACCCCAGTAACGTCATGTAGGTAGGAGAATTGCCTAGCTGAGCCCTGCTCAAACTAATCCATAAAACCTTGTATTAAGCCAATAAATTCTGGTTTCATTTTTTTTATATAGCCATAGATAACTAGAACATGAGTATCTGCAAGACCTCTGTTTCTCTTCCAGCTATTTTCTTTTGGAATATAAACATATTCAAGCCTTCTTAAAATTTTCCATTTTACCCTAAATCTCCTTTTATATACCATTTACCTTTATTTTCTCTTTCCTTTCATCTATGCTCCCACCTTTCATTCTCCATCTTTCTGCAACGGCGCTTCTTCCCTAACCATGCTGTCAGCATAGGTAGCTAGTTACTGACATAAGGAAGAAAGCTAGTTATTGATATAAGGAAGAAAGTAAAAGGGAACTAAATCTTAATAAACTGGAAAGCTGAAGCAGTAGCAGGATAGCATTCCATCTATTGTACTGGTAAAACACTCATTCACACACTCCAGGAAACTGGAAACAGACAGGAAAACCTCCTCAGGGTGCTAAAAGCCCAGCACTAGAGGGAGGGGAGGGAATTCCTCTGCTGGGCACATGAGCAATAGAAACTAGATGAAGTAACTAAACTTTTGGACATGCACAGTGAGAGTCAGGATGACCAAGTAGAGGGGCAGGGCCTACCCTGGTAATAACTGGGCAGGTAATCAGATTGGATAAAAGATGCAAAACCCCAATAGAATTTCCTGGGAGGAAGCCTGAGAAAAGTTAAAAATTTGGGTTGTATAGTTTGAATGATTCTTTGTTCTTTATCTGAACCAGTGCCTGCCCACCCTCCACATCCCTGAGGGTGTATTAATTCCCCTTTACTCACAATAAAATCTTGCTGTCACATTTAAACTTCTACACATGTGAGTTTGAAATTATTTTCCCATGACACCACAAAAGAACTCATCTCCTTTACTGGCAACAACGCCAATAAAATTATTTTTGCCAAGATCAGTAATGCTTAGGTTTTGCCAAATACAAATAGTGAATTATCAGTTCTTACCTTACTTGACTCCTGAACACTCATTGCTTTAGAAAACTCTCTCCTCCCCTGGTCTCAATACGGCTCCCTCTTGCTTTTCTTCTTATCTTACTTGTAACTCTTCTTACCCTGATCTCTTCTTGGCTGCCTGTGCCTTAAATATTGAGATTTCCCCCAAGGTTCTCTTGTTTTCTTGTCTCTTTACTACATGCTTTTCAAAGTTACATCAATGCTATTTTCACACTTTATATAGATGCTGTATCCTGAGAGCTTTAAGTCTGTATTTCTAACCTAGACCTTTCTCTAGAACCTAATGGCCAACTCCTTACTGGACAGCTAGCCCCATTTAAACCTGGAGGTGTTCAAACTCAACAAAAGCAAAAATCACCCCCTACAGCCAGACTGCCATTCCACTGTGCTTCCTAGTTCCACCATCTACTTGCAAGTTACATTTGAGTCCTCCTTTAGCCATGCTCATATTGATTCTACCAACTTAATATATCTAAAGTTGGTTTATTCCTTGCTATCCTATTTCTAACACCATAGTTAGAATTTTGTCATTTCTTATTACAGACCCTTCTGGCCTCCAGAGTCAATTCACTCTCGAATGTCATGGGAAAGTGTTCATCCTAAGGTACAAATCTTATCAGACCACTCCTTTGCTAAAACCCTTTAGTCCCTCCCCAGCAGCTCAGGTTAACTTCAAATTCCTTAACATGGCACACCCAGCCCTTACCTATACCTCTAATCTCTTGGCTCTTTCACTTGTGCCCCTATAGTCAACTATATGAAAATACTTGCAGTTTCACAAATTCACTGTACTTTCTCATAGTGCCAGCCTCTGTACTGCTATTCCCCCACATAAAAGTCTCTCCCTGATTTCTAAACCAAATTAATAGTAACTTTTGGTTTAAAGCTCAATTTAGCTCTAATCTTCTCAGGAAAACTCTCCTTGCTCCCCCATTCTGTCTTAGATAACTTTCCTATGTGTTTCCTGTGTGTTCCTCTCTATGAAAACATGTATTAAAACACAGTGTTCTATATTTAATAGCTGCTTATATAGAAGTCTGTCTGAGCATTAGACTAAGACCTCCTTGAAGGCAAGGATTTAGTTTTTACCTTAATTCTCCAAACATATTCTGGCACACAGTAGATAGTCATAGCTACTTGTTGAATGATGAAATGAATGAATGAGTAGCCTGTGTATTTAGTTGCCAGATTTACTAGTTTCACATAGACTTTAAACAATATTACAAAAAAATTATAAGATTCATGAAAGTATTTCTTTCCACAAGCAAATAATGCTAAAAGGGCTGTATCAAAATTCACCTTCTCAGCTTTCCCTTGCTTGAATGAAGGACAGAAATCTTTTTTGCTTGTTTTGAAACCAGTAAATGGAACCTTTAATTCAAGCCCAATGTCATTTCTTAGAGACTCAGAGCTAGAAACAAGAGAAACAAGAGAAACAAGAGAAAATCATATCATACATTTAAGAGGAAAATTGTCAGGCAATATTAAACAATAAGCACCAGTACACTAATCAAAGGGTGCTTATCTAAGTCTCTTGCTTCATACAAAAGTGCAGTAAATATCAAAGCATTAAATATGTACCTTACATATTTGGTACAGAATATTTTATTTCAAAATTTCAAAATAATTTATTATCAAGATATCATAAATTCAGTGACTGACCAATATTCTAAAATATACAGATAAAGAATAACAAATACAAGCAGGATTAAAATAATTACAACCTCATTGATTACAACTACCCCAAATTATATAACTGTATCTAAAGGTGTATTACAAGAAACAGAAAAATGGATTAGAGGGCCAACTTGATCAGCAAAGGTAGGTTCCTTCCATATAAAAATTTGTCAATTGCCCAGCTGGAGTGACTCAATTGGTTGAGTGTTGTCCTGTGCACCAAAAGGTTGCCAGTTGAATTCCTGGTCAGGGCACATACCCAAGTTGCAGGTTTGATCCCAGGTCAGGGCACGTATGGAAGGCAAAGGATCAATGTTTCTCTCTTATCTCTGTCCCTCTCTCTCTCTCCCCTTTCCTCTCTCTAAGCATGTCCTCAGGTGAGGATTAAAAATGAATAAATAAGTGAATAAATAAATAAACATTTGTCAATTATTAGACATTTTCTAGTTCTACCATTTTTCTAGAACTTCTCCAGGATTTTGATTAACTAATTTGACTAATTTTTATAAAATTTCCCTAAGAAACTTAAAAACCAATATTATCTCCTTTATTCCAAGGGATATAACTTGATTTGAAAATTTACTTGTATTTTTAGTAGTAGAGTTCTGAGGAAGAATAAAGATTCAAGATGAATGAGACTCAAAAAGCAGTTGCAAGTAATACAAGAAAATCACAAAGCCTTCCAAAACCTTTCTCAACTTCATATCCCGGATAAGGTTTAATATAGTAAATCTCCTTGAGGTTAAAATGTTAAATAAGACCAAGAAAGCTGCTGATATTGTTGCACTTATACTCACTTAAGTATAAGTGAGTGCATCTTTGGCTTAACCCATTTATTGTTTGCCAAATCTCTTCCTTGTTCAAAATAGTAAATGGTTACATTTCTACAAATAGTAGATAGTCACATTCTACAAATTCTGGAAGTAACTGACTCAAAACTCCCACCATCATCACACATGTCCTCAGCAATTATGTCCATTGTTTGTAGCCTTATGCTATATTTAAAACCCCCTTGAGAATCAACTTAAAGGGAAGAAATTAACAAAAACTGAATTTTTAAAAGCATAATACAATGCTAGCATTAGAAGGGTCTGATCACCAGTTAAACTGCCTATACAATGCAAGTTTGAATGCCAGTTCTAATATCTCTCAGATAGAGAAACAAAAACAGAAACTGAGAAGGGAGACAGAGAGAGATACCTTTTTAAGCGTTATTTTCAATAATTGGGGGTATAGGTTAATGAGTTCAAAAAAGTCATCAAGGAGAAGAGAAGATTAGTAGTAGGTGGATAGTAGCTGAGGCTGCTCTTGTGGTTTAATTATTGAGGTTTACGTAAAATTTTTGTTTAAAGACAAGATTTTGTTTTAAAAAAGCTTGAACACCACCACTATTTAATTTTGATTAGTGATCATCCAGACTCAACTTTAACATGTTCAATGATGGGGAATTTACTACCTTACAATTCACCTTGCTCCCTTGCGGTCAAATATGATTGTTATGAAGTAGTTCCTTATATTTAGTTGAATACTCTGTAATGTGTACCCATTGTCCCAGCTCAGGATTCTGAAATACATAAAAAGTTGTAATCCTTCTTCCACAAAATAGCCTCTTCTATCTTTTGCCTCATCCCCAGCACTTGAGCTAGTGTTCCACAACCAACAAGTTCTCCATACTTTTTTAATAAAATGTATACAGTTAAACTTGCTATTCTGAAAATGTGAAAAAAAACTAACCAAGCAAATAGATCAGTAGAAAAACATCCCAGGTGCTCACTGCAGGACTTCTGCAGGGGCAATCCATATTGTTCAGGCTTCATAGAACTTTCATTCTTAGCTGAAAGTTTTAAAAGGGGGACCACTTTAATTCTACAATCACTCGTGCTGTTGATGTTAATCACACATACACACCCTAATCAACAGCAGTTGTCACTTTTTACTCAATAGACTTTACAAAACAGTATTTTTTGAAACAGAAAACAATTTATCGATTTCAATGATGAATCATGAAACCACCTAGGTTTCTATCCTTTTTCCACCAGATTCTAGAAACTTAGAAATAAGTTTGCTTAGAACACATTCAACTGAGTTTACTTATTAAGTTCTTATTTATAGATGAATGGCAGGGATAGGAACTATGTATGATTCTTCAGTAAGCAGCTACATTGTCAAAACATGGCATCTGATGTTTTTATTTGTGTGTGTGGTTTTTGCTTTTGTTTTTGTTCTGTTTTGTTTTGCTTTGCTTTGTTTTTTGCGGCTGCTCATCCTCAGAGCAAAGATGAGACAACTGGAAGCAGGCGTGGTTATGATCAATAGGAAGGGTGCTAGACAGGTGGTAATGAGCAGCTCTCTATTTTATTGGGAATCACATAAGAAGAAGATGCAGAAAGAACTTTGGTCACTATGGTCAGCCATTCCAGGGAGAACCCTGAAACTGCAGGGCCTGGGAGCCACTGGAATGTTATAAAACAGACTCACTAATCTTCCTTGAATATTAATAAAGAACATTAAAAAAGAAGGGGTATACTGAATCTTGTATCATCTGAAGTATGAGATTATACAAGATAATCTGAAAGTGTCTTTCAGCCCATTTTAAGAAAAATATTACCTTAATTTGAAAAGATTTCCTAGCTAATATCCCAAGCCTAGAAAAAACATAAATAGGCATTGACCAACAATAATTCCAATAGAATTTAATTTCAGAAATTGGAGTATATCCTTTTACAAGCCGAATTAAAGCTAATTTAATTAGCTTAAGTATTTGGATGTTGGTGAAACACTATAATACAACAGAAGTGAAGAATTTAGAAATGTGAGGTGGAATTGAAGCACTGACATTATCTGTGTCTAAAACAGAAATAAAACCACTCTATTAACTTAAAGAAGTAAAATAATTTATATGCAAGTGTTTTTGCAAAGCACAAAGTAAGGTACGATTCAAGGTAGTGGCCCTGGTTTTTAGGCAATCAGATAAGGACACAACATGGTTAATTCCATTTTAATGACTAAGAAATAGTGCAGTAAGTAGCTAGACTACCAAAAACAAAATAACAGTTTTACTGTGAATAAATAACCCTTGTGCCTACCACAATGCTATATTGGTCCTGTATACACATCTTAATCCCAGGAAGACGTCAGTCTTTTCTTCATAGGTAGAGAACATGTTTCCCTTCATTTTATTTACACTTGTTTTCTTCAGACTATGACCAGCAAGGATTACATGTTCTTTAAAGTATACAACATATAGTTAATCCTTAGCAAAAAAAAAAAAAAAAAAAA